CGCTCAAAAGTTTATAGCGGAAAGTGACAGTATCATGAGATACTGTGCAAAATTCAGTGATGCGCCAATCCAAGACCACACTGAATCATATCTTATGATAAAAGACAAATCACTAGATGATTGTTGGGCACGGCTTCAGTCCGCCTATGATTTGGTTTTTTCAAAGCCAGATGACAGCCTACCTGAAAGAAAGTGTGCATCAGAATTGAATTTCAATACGATAGTTATTATTATCGTTCATATTTTCTGCCAGGAATATTACTTTATACCACGCGATGGAAAGAAGAACCCTTCTGGCAAGCTTTACATAAAATATGCAAACAGCAGAGCAAAGAACAAAAAATGGATGCTCACCCTTCAATTCGCCCCGAACCAGCTACTACGGAAATTTCAGAGGAAAGTTCTGAAATTGATTATTCAGTTGCTTCAGCCCTTAAAGCAGCATTATGTCGAGATACCTCAAATTGGACTGAAGTAATAGAAAAATGGCAAAAAACATTCGGAATGCGACAGAAGGAACTGAAGACGCTAAGCAACATTGAATTCTTAAAGGCTTGGCCTATATATAGTGACGCAAGATGCCCAGACCTGGTAAGTTAATCATATTTTGAGAAAAATAAATGATCATAATGAAATCTCACTCCATATAGATAAAGCGGGACTTTACTATGTTATACCCAAATAAAGAACACATGTTGTATTCGAAATGGGAGACTTTTAAGGAGAAAGTTATAAAGTTTTACGAGACAGAATTGCGCAGCGACTACTGCAAGGAGCTTTTACAGATGGCTAAGACAACAGAAAACACAGGTAATTTATACATCAGATATCAAAGCATTACAAAAATACTATTAACATTAATATTTGTTTAGATGCCCAAGACTTTATACTTGCATCGCTACTCAATGGCGTTTTACCGTGCTCAGCGAGATTCCCAAACAATTCCGGAAAATGCAGCAAGAAGGCTACAATTGCAGATGCGCAAGAAAGTTTCGCGGTACGTTTATTATGCATAAACGATTACGAAAACAAAATTAGTGAACTAGTGGCAAAATACTACTCCTGTGGCTTAACTATACAACCTTTTTTGCTAGTAGAAGGGCATTCAGATGAAGAGTTGAAAGGGTTTTATATATACTTCGACAAAACATTGTTTAAATTTCCATCCTTTATTGAAGGCTTAGATACTTGTTTTAAAATATTTCCTGCTCTTAACTTATATTATCCACAAGCATCTGCTTTGACCTGGAATTTCATCCAGCAATATTTCTATAACATCCACACCGCTTTTGATCTTAAATCACCAAATTTAGTGTCACTTATGAATTACATGAATAATATATAATTGACCATGTATGAATGTTTTAAATGCCACACCCAATTCCAGGAGCCTACATATTTGATTCGTCATTTGAAGATAGATCATTTGATGTCTTCAAAACTTATCAAACTCCAATGCAAACAAGGGAATTGCAAACAAATTTTTACCAATTTTACAACTTTTCGAATTCATTTAGAAAGGCAACACAAAGAATCAAAGGGAACAAATGCATCATTTGTAGCTTCAGATTTTAGTTTGTTAAATTGCACTTCGACATCAGATCAAACCTACGATTTCAATCTCCCAGTTTCAACGACGAAGTCAGATCAAAACGTATCATTTTCTGCTTCAACCAATTGCAATTCATCTTTAAATCTGGTGGAAACGCAAATACCTCAATGTTCAAGCGCTAACAACACTACGATTTTAAGAAAGAAGGCACTACATTTGTCTCTTAGTTTATATAGCAAAAACTACATGCCAAGAAAATATGTAATTGAAATTCAAAATATGATAGCTTCTCTTCTTGTAGCCGTGTCTCACTCAATAGAATCTGCTTTAGACAATCATAATTTGATTGAGGCTCGCAATGATATCACTTCTCTATTACAGTTTTGTAAGGATCCCTTCCAAGAAATCAAATCTGAACATAGACTTCTTAAAATACTTAAAGCTCTTAATATGTACGAGGATCCAAAATCAACAGTTATAAAAACATCAATTGCCCAAACCACTGCTCATGGTAATCCCGTTCTAGCATCCACTTCTTCTGATATCTACATTATGCCCTTATATTTTCAATTTAAGGCAATTTTTGAAATACCAAATCTTTTACATTATACTTTGGAAAATACAAAACGGTATTCTCAAGAACCCTTTTTGCAAAATTTCGCCAGCGGTCAAATATTTAAGGCAATTAATGCCCGATTTGGTTCAGGTTTAATAATTCCCTATATTTTATATATTGATGATTTTCAAATCAACAATGCTCTCGGTACGAATACTTTCTCAATTTGTGGGTGCTACTTTAGTTTCCCTACTATGCCGCAATATTTGCTGTCGAAGCTTGAATTCATTTTTCATGGGGCATTCATATGAAGCTGTAATTTGAAAGTTTGTGGATATGAAAAATCATTTCATAATCTCGTAGAAAACATAAAGGTTCTTGAAGAAGGTTTAGATTTTGTTATCAACAATGAGCAGCGTAAAGTACACTTTATCCTCGGTTTAGTAGTAGGAGACAATTTAGCTATCAATGCTGCGTTTGGCTATGTCCAGTCTTTTAATTCAAAACGATATTGCCGCTTTTGCAAACGAACGAAAGATGAAACTAAAACTGATGTAAGGCAGTATGAGCAATTTTTGCGAAACAGAAATAACTATAACGAAGATCTCTTAAAAGACAATTTCCAAGAAACAGGCATCAAGTCTGATTGTGTTTTTAATAGACTGAACAATTTTCATGTCACAGAAAATATTACTTTTGATGTAATGCACGATGTTTTCGAAGGAATTTGTTCTTATGACATCTGCAATATATTGTTGGGCCTTATAAAGGATAAAGTTATATGTATAGACCAAATAAATAGTAGGAAGCAACTTTTTCCTTTCGGTGAAACGGAAATAGGTAACAGTTCAATGCCGTTGCAAATTGAGAGATTGAAATCATTTAATCTAAAAATGACTGCTAGTGAAACAAAAAGTTTCGTTCTTTCAATCAGAAGAATTTATTGATATTACCAAACAACACTATTTCTCTAAAATAACTCAAACATACGATATCGACCTGAAAAGAATACAATATTGTTATGAACTTTTTTATAGTGGAACGAAATACAAAAAAAATTATTATTTGTCCACGAACTTACATAGCAGCGCATTTAAGTTATATAAAATAAAAATGTTTTTGTATCAAAATAGCATAGCTTATATTTTATGTCAAGAAGTTTTCATAAAAAAATTTTGTTCACATTTCCAATCGTACGAAATTGGTTGTTTAAACGAAAGTTTAGAAATAAAAACATTTTCAGAATTAAATACTTCGCCTCTACATCTATATCCGCTATGTAATGGTAAAACATATGTAAG